CAAACGGCTGATGAACTTTGAATGTAAAGCTATGCGCAGACCATAACAGAGCTATCAAAAAAAAACCGAATTAAAAGCACAAGTTTGTTTGCGCTGTTACATTGCACTGAATTTTTTAGAACTACGCAATTAATCGTTTTCTCCAAAATTTTGGCTATCGAATGAATACTAAAATTTCAATGAAAAAGATTTCCCCACTGAAGAAAGCATTGTTTCAAAAGAGTTCCATTCGCTACATTATCGATAACTTGGCATCGCATGCACTGTGCAACATTTATTGGCAAGATATTCATTGTTTTCCAGTTCCCAATCATTACAACAACTTTTGAGTACTTTACCTAAAAAATATATTGAAGTGATGCATTTATACCATTTTTTTCGTTGTGAAATCTATTACAATTAATGGTATGCCAGCATCGTTGTGCTTGCGTAGTAAAAAGAGAGCTTTTCCATCAATAAAAACGTTATATCTGCACCAAAAGCACACGAGTGGGCAGAGGAGATCACGAAGTATCGACTATTACGAGAGACCTTAAATTTACTCCAAAACGATAAAAACCCTAATTAAACAACAAACATCGCGCGTTGGCTGCGATTTGCACTGCGCGTGGCGATTACAACTGTTGATCGTGAAATGGTTAATAAATTTAATGATGAAGATTGGTGTGTAAATCTTTTTGCGTCAGGTGGGACTCGAACCCACATTTCACTCACTGCGGAGGCGTATGCTCTATCCCTTGCACCACCGACACCTGTATTGACACCACTCTTTCTGCGCTACAACGCATCTATTTGTCAACAACCAACCGTCAACGGTTCGGCCTAGGTAGTCTGTGCATGCAAGAGGAGTTCAGTGGGTCCGCCTCCCTCTAGGAATTCGCTAAAATCTCAATGCCATATTCATGTCTTTATATAAAATCTTACCATCTCTGAGCAGGCTCAAAAAGAATGAGTCCATTTGATCTGTATTACATAATATCTGTCGACGTAACTGAGTTCAATGTCGATAATGACCACCCGAGGCAGCCCGCTGACGGTTGGCGGTTGACAGATAGATGTGCTCTGTCGTAGAAAGAGTGGTGTGTAAAATGGGTGTAACCTCTAGTGCAATGGTTTAGAGCGCGCGCTCCCTGACAGAGTGAGATGTGAGTTCGAGTACCACATGGAGCAAAAGTTCTGCACTTCACTCTACATCACTGCGTAACAAAAAGGCCTTCATGAAAAACCAAACATACTCTCGAAATCGCAGAGATTCGAGCTTTTGAATAACTACCAAATTTTGAAAGAGAAAATTCTCAGCGAGAAAGGCCTTCAAGCAATTGTGTACTTCAGCTGGTACACACCGGCCCTCAAGGTTTAAGAACCCTTAGCAGTTTTGCAGCTTCTTTGATCATCGAACAATCGCAATGAGGAAGGAGATGGGTAAAATAAAGGAATCCAAAGCTGAAATCTGTTAAAATTTTTTATACAGATCGCAACTCAACCATCTTATGACACAACCATATTTAACAAAGGCACTTATACGGAAACCTTCATTACACACAGCAAAGGAGCAAATGACAGTAGTAATTTTTACTCATGACATCATATTATAATGCAAAAAGTTTAATCATGAACTCTCCACGAACATTCTAAATGAAAGCTGTCCAAAGTATATGTGGAGGTACAAACGAGGTAGTGAAATTCCAATACACTTATGGATAAACGCTAACTTTTGACATCAGCTGATGGAAGGACAGTTGAAATCACAAGCTTGCAGGATCTAAATAGATGAAAACAGCTGTCAGCAACAACAAATCTCCATAAAAGGAGATAAACAACGATCTAAGACAGGAAACACTAGATAACACTAACTAACTATGATTAGAGTAACTACGAAAACGAAGGAGGACTGCATTCCGTGGATGATTCAGTGTATTGCTGAGAGTCCTCCATGTAATGTTCCTATAAAATGCAGTGATAAAATAGATGTTAGGTTGATTGGAAAGTCAAAAATACCAAGTGCTAAGTCACTTTGAAAAAAGAATACAATATGCAAAGACACATGAAAGCATAGACGATTAGCTACTGCTTCAAACACTTTCATAATGCACTTATATACTTAGCTCTTCAATGACTTGTCTTTACATGTCATTGTCAACACCTCTCCCGTAGATTTTTTTGTTTTCTAATTTATTTCTATGTGTCAAACACAATATGGAAAACTGCTTACTATCATTATGTTGAATAACAAGCTATAGAGTACTCAGAATTTCGCTGACGACCACCAATCTTTTGGAATTATAGAAGATTTGCTTGCATCGCAGTTGAAACTCCTTTAGAACAATGGAAAAATCTACTAGTGACCAAATGAGCGCAGCAATGCACTGCAACATGTGAATCCGTCTTATAGATGAAAACTCGAGTTGAAATTCGTACATACAGAGAATATCAAGTTCGGAAGCAAGGAGGGCACACATAAAAGGAATTTAGGAAGTCACAATTTCAACACAGTGTTAATTTTTCGAAATTTCTGCTATTGCCATCCAAGAAAAGTAGTCCACACACGAAAGAGAATGCGTTTCTATGATATTCTCACAAAAATATCGGTCATTACACATATCACCGTGGTTAAATTTTAGCGAAAAGAAACATCGATGAGAGTATTTTCAAAACGACTGCGTTCTGAGAAGTTGTAGCATAGAGCGAACTCCAAACAACCATTCCGCTATGGAAATTCTAAACCATTTATATCTCAAAATTCATCACTTGTACAGATTGATATTCTACGTATGCTAGAATTCGTTCACTGCGTGATACCAACAACTGCATACATGTGTTTCGTAAATATAAAAATGAAATATCGCGATGTTGAGAATGCACAACACGAAGACGAAAAATGACCAGAATTATTCACGATAACCAGGCATAAAGCATACGCATAGAGAAATCATGAAGCACATACAATCAAGAGAAACGCAGAAGTTTTTGCGAACATGAAAGAACGCTGATTTATCCAACGGAGTCTACGTTCCACATAGCATGTAGGCAGTGAGAGTTTATGAGCTAGAAAATCTCCTCCAGTCAGAAGTCAGGGGAATTCACAGAAAAAGGGAGCGAAAAACGAACACGAGTCGCCGCCGCTTTGCTGGCCACAACTGCAAACATTTCGCCCAGGAAACAACGAGACAGGCAAAACTTGGAAGTCGCAATATGTATACAAATTTAGCAATGAAAAATTTATAGAATTTTAGGTATTTCTCCGTTATTCGTACCCTGTTTCGACCCTTCAAAATAGGATTATCTTTGCTAACATTCTCAATGCTAAGTAAGCGTTCAATAGCATGAATCAAAAGAATTTGATTGATCTACTTCATTTCTGAAAAAGCTTTATTACCACCTGGAAAAAACAAAAATAAAATTTTGCTTCCCATACAAAAATTTCTTGATTGAAGTTTTTCTTAAGAGTTTTAACAACTATTTGAGAGATCGAATTTCAAGAATGCCAATGATGTTTTTGGTTTTTGAAACGGACTTCTTGGTGCGTTATAACACCCAAAAGAAGAGTGGGTTTCGCAGAACTGGACCACGCCTTTGTGTCACGCCTTTCCTTGGAATCTTGAGAAAACGCGACCTTTGCTTTTTCTTCGAGTTTTGACAATCTCATCATAGAACAAATTTCAGAGATTCCATTGGAGAGCTTTGCTTCCAATATGGCTGCACTGATGTGCTACAGGAGTAAAAATAAAACCATGCTTTTTGTTGGAATATTACTCGCTGAACAAAGCTTTTTTTTTCTTTAGACTTTTAGCAACAATTCGATAGCTCAAATCTTGTCGATTCCGAGAGTTCTCTTGGCATGTAAACTTTACATTGCAGTATAGCTGCTAAGAAAATGTTAATTTTTGCGCAGCACGACATCGCTTTCAAGCAGTTACGCTTTAGAGGTATGTGGATAAGATTTTGCCCATGCCGACGCCAAGCCACACGCCTTTACCTGCATTGAACAAAATTTCGCAACAAGCGACACCAGTCCAGTACATATTGTTTGCCACTCAATTGCTTTTTGCTAGTTTTCATCAGGTTTTCTCAATTATGATCGTTTATGCTTTACGAAGCACTGAAAAAGACGCAGTCATGGTCTTGCAAGAATATGGCGCAAGCCTTTCTAGAAATGAAGTACACCAATCGAATTCTTTTGATTCAAGATATTGAATAATTACTTTAACATCAAAAAAGACTACAAAAGACTACTAAAAAAAAAAGTTGAAACAAGGCGCGTGTAGTGGAAATAATCTGGCTTTGCAAAACTCAATCTTCTTTTGGTTTTCACAGTGGATCGCAAAGTATATTTCGAGAACCAAGTAAGTGATTGGAATCCCCAAGATAGATTTATCGACTGATTGTTTAAACTCTCAATAAAAAACGTTGATTAGCGAAAAATGCTTGAATGAGGAACAAAATTTTACTTCTGCTCTTTCAACGTAATATTAGAGCCTTCTCAAATATGAAGCACATCAATTAAATTCCTGTAATTTGAGCTATCAAATGATTACTGGAACATTAAATACGACCGATAAATACGTTTTTTCAGAGAGTCGAAACAGGGAACGGACAACGGAAGAGTACCGAATTTTGCATACCCAGGATAGACAAACTGCTTTACAAAACAATTAACAAAAGATCACGTAGAATTGTAGCAACGAAATTTTATAATACCTAAAAATTACTGGCCTCTATAGGATGTAAAACTTTCTTGGATGGTTTATCTTTCTACAATGAAGTTTCATTCTGAACTTTCCGCTTCGTTCAGGAAATATAGATATGAGCAGGATTTCTTTATGTAATTCCATTTTTCAACCCTCTGGAAAGAAGACTTTTGCACTTCTGGCAGATCTTTAACAGTCATTCAATCGCTCCGGTCGGGCAGCATTGATAATGCACTTGGTTTATACAAAGCCCTCTTAATACGCTGCCACGGCGAAAGCAAAAATGATGCCTCACATTTTGCGCCTGTCATCGCGGATATTTTCCTTATCTAGAGATCTTTTCCCCGTTTCGCAAAAAAGACCCTTTTTGTACTTGTAAAAGAAAGTTTGCTCCACAATCCTATATGAATGGGTTTCTCATTCTCATCTTATATTGACAAATCAATACGCAACTAAGGTCCAAGTAGAGGAAGGCTATGTTTTTTTTTTGTTCTGTTTTTTTTTGCACAACGTGACCTTCTTTTTCTTTGCTTAGTCATGATTAGAGCTCTGTCCGGCGAGAGATATACGCGCCTGAGACACAATTTTAGTTGAAATTCTATAGCGTTATAAAAGCTTTTCGAAAACCTGCCACATGAGGCTGTATCCAGAAACCTCAGCTTTAGAATGGTTACTATCATTGCTTTGAAAAAATTCTCTCTGACAAATGAGATAGGTCTATCATTTGTCCCTTTATAACCAACACAAACTGCTTTTTGCAATGAAATTTCGTAATTTGAGTATCGTTCAACTGCACATTTTTTTGAGAGCAATTTGGTAGCCTGTCTATGGTTGCCTTGAGACAGAGCTGTCTTAGGGACAAATCGCTTGCCACGCAAGCATGAATGACACGTAGGGGAGATAATGCGCCCGCTTCACTAGCATTTACCACAACGCGCGATTCCTGCGTGAATAGCAAGCGAATCTGTTCCAAAAATAGCTCCATCTTTGAGCAACTATAGGCAAATTGTATACTAAATTGTTCACAAGAAAATGCGCAGTTGGGCGATACCAAAGTCGTGCAC